CAAATTAGCTACTAAAATCAGCCAATGCACACACAGCTCATACTTCTAAGCGAAAAACACGAGTTTTTCCACAGACATGTCTTTGAAAAACAAAAAAAAAAAGAAAATCAAAAAATCAAAAAATTGCGAAAACTGCCAAAGGCGCCTGGCAATTTTCCAAGAAGCAATATTTCGCATTTCTTAATTGAGAGCAAACAATAAACGCGCCACCCGCTCTATTGGCTGACAAACAAAATGAGCAATACTCTTTGCACTTGAAGATCGCTTGATGGCGCTCATTACGCGCGCCGCTGTTCTAATTTATTGATACTTCAAAAAAAGTAAGAAAAAAAAAGTGAAACACATACGCAAAGCATTGGACTTCAATTACAGCTCGAGCTATTTGGTGGTACCGCAGATCATCTGCTTAATGAAAGCCAATAGCCGGAGAATTTCGAAACTTTCGCAAGGCTGCATTTCGCCAATCGAACGATAACGGCACATGCATACATATATACATACATACATTAATTAAATATTTGCGTGTGTTCATTTGTGAGTTGACAATTACTTTATAATGACGAAAGCACTCATTTTCGTCGAATTTTCAAAGGCCTTCACGATATTACCCGAAAATACTGCTACGAGTACGCAAAAATGGACGCATATAACAAATATACACACACATATACATATGCATTTAATATGCTCATCTTGATATGGTATAGTATATATTGTCAACACATTTTCTCGCCTCTGCGCTTCAACGAGAATGAACATAATAAGTAGATGATTATTTAAAAAAAATGAAGAGCATCAGTTAGGTTCGTTGTGATCTTTACTTTTCAGTTGCCAATCGATCTTATACATAGAAACATCCTTCGGACAAAAGTGTTCCGCAAAGAAAATTCACAAATGTTATACCATTGCGCTTAACCTATACTATACTATACATACGAAATAATACTATATATAACTGTAAATTCTAGTACGGTGAATTGAAAAGGTTTTTGCGGCTAATATTAGATGTGCTTCCGTTGGCGGAAGACGCGCCTGTGTTAAAAACTCAAATTTACAAAAAATAATAGAAAATAAAAAATAAAATTTCCACACACATACATAATATATATACGTACTTATGTGCATACGAAGTGAGCAATAAAGAACAACACATAATAAACTTTTAACTTGTCGTTCGTCCTTGCCGCATTTTCTTGGTGCATTACACTGCGCGTTTGTGCTGTGACGTATAACGGTCGTCGCGATCGTCCGTCACATTGAGCTTTGTTGCGTATACTCGTACGTACACATTCGTGATTGTTGTCCGCGTGCTATTGCACCTAGTACCGTTATAACTACATAGTGCGCTAGACTGTATGTGAACTTTTTCACGGGCGAAACACGCATATTTCTTCACTAGTTAGAGACGTGACGCATGAAGGTTGCCGAAGATGTCATTACATCAAAACTTTTCATTTTGCTCGATTGGCTCATTCGTTTCAATTGTGCGTAAATAAATGCAAGAAATTTATTGGTTAAATTAAGTATATGTTATACCTACATACAAATATACATATGTGCACAGAAAACACCAGTATGATAAGTAAAGAAATACAGCGGAAAACAGAATTAAAAGCGAAACATTTATACAAATATATACAGTTTTACATATTTGTACAGGTGAATTTTGTACGAAAATAAATTGTCGAAAGTCTAAATGGCGTATTGCGACGGCGTTTAGGGTCCTGAACGCGAGGGTACTTGAACTTGTGCAAGGTTTTGAACAAGAAAACATACTAAATTAAATACGTGCCAATCGAAATGTAGATTTTGTACAAATATATAAAATAAAAGGCACATATAACATACACGTGCGGGTGTAAATATTTAATAATAAATTAAATGTAAACGAAATGATTGATAACAAGAGAGATAAATGTTGAGGTTCATATGAAAGGTGAAAGCAAATAAAAAAATAGTTAAATAAAAACAAATAATTACAATAATGACATCAATAATAATACTTCAAAATGTTTATCTCATAAAAAATTTAATAATATTAATAATAATAGT